CCGCGCGGGGGGCGAAGCGCGGAGCCGCCAGAGCCCCGCGTTACCTCACAGGGCCCCCGCGGCGCCCGCCCGTGGGCTGCGTTCCAGTACCGTGCATTCGGAACTGAGCGTAAGGGAGAAAAAATAGCCCTGCGAGTGGAACAGAGTTGAATAGCCAGGCTGGTTTTGTTTGTTTTTTAAAAAATAACACAAAATGCCTCGGGTTCTTTGACTGTAGTGGAGTTAACTTCACCCTTGCTTATGCTCCAGACAACCTTTTTGCAGGCACCGGGGAGAACCTGCGAGTGAAGATGGTTTTGAACATTTTGCCTCTGAAACAGACAGGTAACAGCTTGAGCCCATCTGCAGCCTCACACTTTGCTCTTTTATCTGCTTTGTTCCCTATCCCTGTCCCACCTGAGAAAACACCTTCCCTTTAGTCAATATTTTCAGTTCCTCAGATCGAAAACCTCAACTGCCTTGCTCTGGAAAAAAGAACCAAGCAAAGTTCGCTGTATAACAGCTCACATTTTCCAGTTAATAACAAGAAGATGGTCAGGGAGGGGCATAAAAGGGAACAGAATCCAGAAAACAAGTGACATGATAGAAGATAAAGTGTAGGCAAGTGTGGTGGGTCCCCACATTGTCTAGAGAGATGGAGGCTCACGAAGTAGCTTCACTTTCCTTGGCTTGTTTTACAGTAAACATGTATGATTTTGACAGATCACCTGCCCAAGTGATCTGTGCAGGTGATCCATAAATTCTACTATATAATAAAGTGATCGTAACCCAGTAGGAAAAGCTAGTGAGGAGTGTGCCCCGAAGCTGGCTGCAGGTTGAAGTCAGGCTGCCCCACTGGGGCTGTTTGAGCTGAGGAAGGTGTAGTACAGTGCTGTGGATCACACAGTGAGGATACAGACACTGTTCCCTGCCCCAGTGCCACAGCAGCACTTCAGTACAAGAAGCTGCTGTGCACTCTTGGCAGGTCTCGGGTGCCCCAGCAGCACTGCATGAGAGCTGCTGCCTGAGAGCACTGCCAGGCCACTGGCGAGTGAGGCACCTCAAGTTCCTCATAATGCTGATTAAGGTCACTGGGATGGGTGCTAGAGAGGTGATAGCTTGTCCTCTCTGCCTGTCTCAGTGCTGTGTCAAACTGTAAGCTGCAGACTGGCCTTATCACACTGCAGGAATGAGGTCCAATAGGCCTTATCTTGGGGCTTTCAAAAGATAAGGATGATTGCTTTTCTGCCTCTGGAGGTTTTCTGGGGTTAGGATCTTTTGGCTGGGAATTGGGTTGCTCCCTGCTCTCATCCCGAGCTGTTTTTCAACTAGGCATGGCATGAAGACAAGGGCAGCTACACATGTGAGACCTGGTACGTGCCTTGGGTTTTTGTGAGCTTGTTAGCACTGCTGGGGCTTCACTCTGTTATGAACCAGGCTTGCTCTAGTCACATTTCATTACCAGCAGTTAGGGTAATAGCAAATAATTAACAAATAACCACAGGAACCTTCTCATAGTGCAACTTGAAGTTGTTCCTCACATTTCTTCCCATTACAGCTGAGAGGATTTTTAAACCTCCTCCTTTCTGTTCATATTTTGGTAGTTTGTTTTTTCATACCAAGAGAGAGCAAACTAGCTGCAAAGCTAGAACTAGATTTGCACAGGAACACATCCCAGCTGTCTGCTTTTATTTTCTGTTGCTGAGCTCTGTCCTTGTCAGACTGGCTGATGAAGGAGCTAATGGTGGTTGAGGATTGGATGTCTCCTCTGCTTGCCTGTCCTGATTTCTGGAAGTGATCACAGCTCCTTGTCTCCTGCACAGTTCCTGCTCTGTTGGGAGATTCTCAGTCCTTGGGATTCAGAGACAAAGGGTCTAAGGAGATGAGGCAGACAGATGTGGCTCTTTTCTGTGAGCCAGTTTGCTGAATAATTATGGGAGGTAACCTCAGCAAATTCTGTGATCTGTTTTATACTCAATCTTCATCTCTCCTGGATTTCTGTCACTTTAAATTAAGACAGAGCACTGTGTATTTAATTCTCACTTATCTTTTGTCCTTTATCTGTAGCTACCTTCAGAGATTTAACAGAGCTAGCGTGTAGCTGGGTGCTCTGAGTGTAGGAATCGGTGTTAATGTGGGTGTTTGTATGATAAATGTAGGATAAACTTTTAATCAGTACTCTTTTCAACTTAAGTTCATGATTCCCATCTGAAAGCAGTAACTTCAACATGAGTTCCAGAGCAGGGTGTAGCTTATTTGCATATTGCTCTGCTTAGGCTCATCTTCAGTTTTTACAGCAATGATCATTATCACCCTGCAATTATTCCTTATTGCCACTACACTACCATGCATGTCAGCAAAACAAGATCAGAGGGCACTGGTGATTACCCCATTTCTGTCTGAAAAAGTGACTGGACAAGCTAGTGCAATTCATACCCAAGCAGTATAAAATATGAATGTTCATATTCCAGCTGTTGTTAATACAGTAACAGGAATATTAGTTGCAGATATCTCCACAGAAATGGAAGTGACCTCACTTCCTTATTGCATTCTTTAGATCTTTATTACTATATCATGTTATTGCCTCACAGATATGGTTTCAGTTTGGAGCAGTGCAGCTGGGTGCCAGCTACTTGGGTTAACCATTAGGAGTTCATTGCTTCACATCTCTGTTGAGAACAGGAGGGAGATGAGTTTCAAACGAAGGAGGAGGGTGAATGGGCAGTGTTTCGCTACAGGCTTCTCTTCAGGGTTTGGGATTCTGTTTTCAGACCTATCACAAGCCTGTTGTGTCATACCAGATAGAGTATCAAATCTCCTCTCTCAATTTATCTGTCAGTCAAAAGATGATGATAATAGCGTAGGAGAGAAGCGTAGGATTTGATAAGTTGTTCCTGTTAAGACTACAGTGCTTCAGAAGGAAACCCTAACCTGTAGTCACATTCCCCTGTGCTAAAATACAGCAGGGAAAGTACTGCTTGGAGTGGGAGTAGGTGGGGAATAGACCATAGAGAATCACTCTGCAGTTAAAAGAGCTGCAGTACAGTTCAAGCAGGTGATATACTATCATTTGGATGGGTTTTGTGCTGTTCTTACTTACGCCAATTTGCTGGTAGATGACTAATTTATTTTGAAGTGTTTTTATTCTGCTTTGGCCACTGATACTTGAAAGAAAGAGTTACTGGTCTAGCTCAGGTATCAAGGCAACAGAAACTTACAGACCAGCAGCTGACTAAATTTAGGTTTTCTGAGTAGTCTCAGTTGTGTTTCTACACAGGAATCTTGTCACCTCAGTTATGCCAGCTGACCCAGCAGAGGCTCTGCTGAAATTGCTGGGTTCAGACTGCAGCCAGGGTAGTGTGACTTGCAGCTGGAATTGTACCTCCTGAGCACTGGCTGGCCCTGGCCGCAGGCTGCTCCAGGGCTGTGTGCTGGTGGTGCCTGTGTCTGATAATGCCATGTTACTGGTTTTTCCCCCACACAGGCTGAAGGGAAGGAGGTGCTAATAACAGGCTGTGACAAAGGATTTGGGCATGCCTTGGCAAAACAGCTTCATGCAAAGGGATTTACTGTTTTTGCTGGGTGCTTGCTCTTGGAGAGTAGCAATATTGATCCAAATTCATCTCAAATTGCAGAGAAATGCTTCTCAAGTGACAGCATCTTTATCTGTAGGCTCTGTTTATTGTAGTCCAAAGCATGAGGGAAGTGGAGTGGGCAGGATTCATTACATCTTTCATTGCTTCATCTGCCTGTTCCGTCTTGTGATTCCTGTAATTTTGAGCTCTTTAGGGAAGGGATTGTCTGTCAACTGCATGTCTGTACAGCAGCATGCACAGTAGGCAATGCTCCCTTCTGGAAGCCTCTCAGCAACACACTCAATAAACCTGATAGTCTAAGATTGCTGTGGCACTAGGGCTTTCTGTCTTCCCTGGCATCTCTGTTGCTGCCTTTGATTTTGTCACTTTCCTCTGGGGACACTCTCTGCAAACTCATCTCCAAGCCACCTCTCCTGCCTTGCTCAGGTTCTGTTTCTGAGGTGTATTATAACTGTGGCACAGGCTGTTGTTTCACCAAATGGATACCCCATCAGGAAAGACAAGGCTATCAAGGATATCAACAGAAAGATCAGTATAGATTTATTATCTACCTCCTGGAGATGGAAGAATAATGTAACCCAGCTAGTTACAGGTACAACATAGGAAACCATAAACTCAAACAGCATGGAGGACACAAAGAATATAGTTTGACTAATAACAGGTGGAACAAACAAAGCCACAATCCCACCCACCACAGGTGATACAACCAAGGAGAAGAAAAGAAAGTGAACCCAGCACCCCCCACAAAGCCATCCTGGGGGAAATACCAGATGAGATCATAGAGATCATATTTAGATATCACCTCAATTGTTCAGAGATAGTCAGAGGGTCCTTCCTAAGGAAAGCTCTGCCTGTTGCATCCACCAGCAGGTGAACTCTCCCAAATATCTGCACAAGCAGGGCCTGCTTTAATCTTGTTCTCTTAACAAGCAGGACGTCTGCTGCTGGTCACCCCAATCGGCTTTCATCCACGATTGGCTAGGTCCTGGGTGAAAGCCAGTAGAAATGTTTTCGTACTCTTCTGGCCTTTTCCAAACAGCTGATGGCTTTTCCTCACAGTCATTTCTGCAGAGAAACTAATTTCTCACAACATCTCTGCAGAGACGTTTTTCTGAAGATGGCCATTTCAGCACAGGTGCTCAGGCAGTGATGACCACGGATTCTTGAGTAGTGTGAAGAGTGAGAGCAAACAAAAAAAGGTGTCCCTCATTGCCAGTGTGATCTCAGCGGAGGTTACGTTCTTCCACCTCACCAGAAGGGAAAGTTATTATCAGCTGACATGTTATGTAACTTGAGAGGAAGAGAGTCCTGCTGGAAAATTGCCACTGTTTGGAAATTTCCATATGGAGGCTCTTTGAGTCCTTCAGTACTCACGTCATGTGCTGTCTGTCATGGGTTGTCTGTCTGGTGGTAGCAAGTCAGGAACTCACTTTGCTGAGCAGCAGGTGTAG